TGTGTGTGTGTGTGTGTGTGTGTTTTGGGCTGTTACTGTATATGTAAGGTGATACCATTGCATTGTTTTGTGTCTCCCAGATGAGTAATCATTGTGAGCATTTTCTCATATTTGTTAGCTATTTGCATGTCATTTTAGTTACCTGTTAACATCCTTTGCTCACTTTGTAATTAGATTATTCATGTTTTTTCTCATTGAGGCATTCTAGTTTTCTGTAGACTTTAGAGATGAATCCATTGTGTCATTGCTAAAGATTTCTTTTACCCATTTATAGGTTCTTTTTTTAACTCTTGATGAAGTCTTTTGCTGTCTTATCTTTAGTAGCTCCCAGTAATCTATATTGTCTTCGGTGTGTGCTTCCTTCATTTTGTTTGATAGTGTGTACATGACCTGCAGTAGGGCTGCCTCCACTAGTTATACTCTAGCACTGCTCTCATCACAGATACAACGTTGGCACGATTCTGTCAAGGCTTAAGGGTCATGTTTTATATCATGTTCAGATGTAAACTTAATTAATAGATGTATTTACATGTATTTCTCAGTTGCTGAGTCACTTATGGATTCCACAAAACATCTTATATATTGTCTTCTATTATTGCTTATAAATAATGATAAGATTTAAGAACCACCAAGGATTAATCAAATGTTTCTTTAGTTTACTGAATATCTTGATGAAGATGGTTAAACAACTAAATCTAGCAATTTTGAATAGGTAAAAATGACTTTCACGTTTTAAAATATTTTATGCATAATTTTATCTTTCATATTGCCAGAATGGCGCAGAGAAGACATAAAAGAGTAAGAACATGGACTCGTCACATAAACATTTTTAATAAGGATTACATCTTTGTGCCAGTAAATGAGTCGTGAGTACTTTATATTATTTAAAAATAAAATCAGAGGAACTCCAGAAAAAAAGACTTCATTCCTTTTTGAAGTAATTGTTAACAAATTAAAGTGTGGGTATGTAAGTTTCAGGGATTATACACCCCAACCTTTATTTTTTGCTCTTTGTGAAAGTAGCTGAAGGATTTATATATTTTGGATTTTGATTTGAAAATGGTTATTTTACAAATATAGTGAGAAAAGAAAGTGATAGATGACCACAAAACTATAACTGAAACAAATGTTTTTATCTTCTTGTATTAAAGAAAAAATTTGCTAAATAAGATATCAAAACATTTTTAAATGCCCTTACGGTGTAATTAAGAGAACAAACCTGGCAAGTGTTAATATTGAAAAGGAGATGGTGATGAGTGTGTTAGATTTACTAAAGCAGGTCCTTAGTAGGCCATGAAGTTTTAATATTATGCTGCAGTACTTTGGCTAATTATTTTGGAATATGTGCTTTATAGTGCATCAAATATTTCATTAGACTGCTCTTCTAAACTTTTAAAAAATTAAGTCATTCCTCACCTTCTCTTATGTAGCTGCAGAATGTACTCTACATTGTATAGGTTTTATATGTTAGATTGTATTGATTTTCCCTACAGATCTCACTGGTATCTTGCAGTCATTTGTTTTCCTGGGTTAGAAGAAGCTGTGTGTGAAGATTTGTCACAAACTGTATCCCAGCAGTCCCAGGCTGAGCAGTCCCAAGCGTTCACTAAAACCACAGGTGACATGTTTAATATCGAATGATGTATTTAATAATTATGAAAACCGTGTAATGGTTATTAGGATTGACAAGACGCTAAAGGTAGTATAGTAGGTATTCATTGTCATTAAACTTATTAGAGGAAGAATTAGAAATCTGAAAATTTTATGCTAGATGCCCATTCTTAGGTACAAATAAAATGTAATTCTTAAGTTATGTCAATATTTATCGTAACACCTTTTGTATAATAGACTTGCTAACATGACTAAGACTTTATGCCCTGGGTCTTTAGACATAGCTTAAAGCCCCACCCTCTTTGAAATATAAAATGAACTCGTTTCTAATAGATGGTACTAATTTTGCTAGGTCATATATGAGGTCTTTTGTAATTCTGTAAATCTTTTCACGGTTGTATATATCAACCCAAATTATTAATTAAATAAGCCTACTTTCTTTGAGGGGAAAAAAATCAAAATTAAATTGTCCTTATAGCCTAAGTTGTAAGTAGATTTCATAATAGTTATTACCATGTGCTGTGGAAAGAGGTGATAGAGAAGCTTTATATTTTAAGTCAGAACAATGTTAGAGACCAACTGTGGAGCAGACCATCAATTGTGTGTGTGCCGATTCACGTTGAATTGAAGGCAGTGAAGACACGCCCATGAAAGCCCAATCTGTACCTGAGTCTAGAGTCTACCCACCTGACTAGAGAGACCGCCTCAAGAGCGGAGTTGAGTCTACCCACCTGACTAGAGAGACCGCCTCAAGGGCGGAGTTGAGTCTACCACCTGACTAGAGGGACCGCCTCAAGAGCGCAGTTGAGTCTACCCACCTGACTAGAGGGACCGCCTCAAGGGCGGAGTTGAGTCTACCCACCTGACTAGAGGGACCGCCTCAAGAGCGGAGTTGATGCACTCAACACTAGTGACCTATTACCAGGCAAATTGTGGGATGGAATCAGGGACATAATACATGGAAGGAAGACCACAAAAAGGTTACTGAAAATTCAGGCAAACAGAAAGATAGAAAAGAATAAAATAGATGGCAGGAAATTATGAAACTTGCTCTTGAATGAGGAATAGCTAAATGAAAGGAGGAAATGATCAAGCAAACGAGCGGAACATATTTCAAAGAGTGGCTTGAAACAATGTACAGATGCGCGTGACACATGGACGGATGTGTGGATTGTGATAAGAGTTGTACGAGCCCCCAATGAAATGATTTACACAAAGAAAGAGTGGCTTGAGAAGGCAAAGCATTAAGGTAAAATGCGTGAAGACTTGGTGGTAGAAAACCGAAGGGATGTGCACTTTCAGCATCGCTCAAACTGGAACATTTATAGACTGGAGTTGCAATATTGAAAAATCTTATAGGCAAAATATTAGACAATACAAGCATTAGAAGAAATCGCATTGCTGTAACAAAAATAATTGGTTGGTGTTCAGCCACTTCAGGAAGTAGCATAGGACCCAAGACTGATGGTACTGAGTGAAGAAATCCAAGATCTGCGAAAATTATTGGCATAAGCAAGACTACGGAAATTCCAGGAATACCAGTGAAGATGCTTCCTCCAAGTGATGCCGTGCTGGTGGTCCTCCTCTTCTAGTCCAGAGCACTTGGAACAGGGCCACTTGACTGACTGACGAATAGACATCAATATTTTGCCCATTCCAAAGAAAGATGTTTAATGGAATACAGAAATTTTCAAACTCTCATTAATTAATAACACATTTAAATAAATGCTGAAGATAGTCCAAAAAGAATTATAGCAATACTTCCATAGAGAACTGCCAAGACGGAAACCATATTCAGAAGAGGACTTTGAACAAAGTACATACCATTGCTGATGTTAACTGAAAATGGAGAAGACCCAGGGAGGTCTTCTTTGCAATGGCTTTCAACTGTATGGCTCAGATTATAGATAATATTGCAAGGAATATGAATTACAGAACATTTACTTCCAAGAGAAAGTTGTTATAACAGAACAAAGGGATACCGTCTGGTTTAAAATTGGGAAAGGGGCGTTTAAAATCGGGAAAGGGGTGTTCCAGAATTGTATTCTTTCAATATATTTACTTTCTGCTGTGCAAAACTTACTTTCATATGTTAGAATATATGAAGAAGAATGTGGCACCATTATGGGAAAACTCACAACTTACAAATGCAGGTGACATAACTTTGCTGAAAATGAAGACTTTGAAAAGGCATTTGCTGATAAAGATCAAAGACTACAATGTGTAGTGTGGCTTATACCTCAATGTAAAGTAAATAAAAACCCAGGTCCAATAAGTAACATCATAGTAGTTTTCAAGGATTTTATTTTACTTGAATTTATAATCAACTCCCATGGAAGCTGTAGTCAAGAAAGCAAGTAAAAAATTACACTGGACAATTTTTGGGCAAAAGACCTCTCTGTACTGTTGGGAACAAAGATTTCTCCGTCAGGACTAAGGTTTGACTAACCCAACCATGCCCAGAACATTTATAAAGCAGCTTGCTATTTTCTGTTTTTCCTAATCCTCCTGAGCTTCAGACATATATAGTACTCTGTTATCAAAGATTAGCAGAACCATTACCAGGCAATTAACTACTCTCCACATTAGAACTATGTGTTTTTCCCTCCTAAACTATATAACCGTATCTTAAAACAAGCAGCCTTCTAAGTGAAGTGTCAGCTATGTCCACACTGGGAAGCACAGCGGCCTGTGTGATCCAAGGAGTGTAACTAAAATCCAAGAGTGGAGGAGAGAATAATAAATGTTGAGCACTGACTTGCAAATGGTTGTGATGACAGTGAAAGCCCGCGTTTCATATGAAGAGCCCCCACGTGGGTTCCGTGTCTGGTGAATCTCCTCTGACAGTTGACCGGGGATGTGATTGGCCTTTTCTTCTGAGAGTGCATTGCAAAGTGGATTATTGCCGATGTGGTTAGGTTACAATTGAACAACTTCTTATTTGTTTTCTTTTTGAACCCATTTAAAATTTGTTCTAATTTTATTGTTTTCTGTTTTCTTTTGATTGCGCAGTGTGTGTGTGTGCGTGTGCGTGCGCGCGCGTGGTGATTGTTGGTCGTGGTGGTGAGTTTGGTTGTTCGGGGTACGCTTTTCCGTCTGTGAAATCCAGAACAAATAAATCTATAGAGACAGTAATCAGAATAGTAATTTCTTTGGTTGATGATAGGAGAGGTTGGGGGGAGAAGGGAGACTGGTAATAATGAGAACAAAAATGAGGAAAATATTCTAAGATGGATTGTGTTGATGATTGCACAATTCTTTTTAATATATTTAAACCATTGAATTGAATGGTATGTGAGTTATATGGGGAAAAAACCATAAATACATTTTAAAAAGTATATACAGCTTAGGATGCCACTTCAGCAATTTCTCATTGTACATATCAGTGATATTGGTAACTTTCTGTATGTTATGGTAGCATTCTCTCTGTTCTTTCCTAAACGAATTCACCACCGTTATCTTTAACTGACACCCCTTTTACTGCCTGCCCTTCCTTTTGAGTGGTCATCAATGTGATATCCCATAGATTAGTTCTTTAAAGGAGCACACTACTCAAAGTATATGTGCTAAACATAAAATGAGTAAACTACTTTTTTGTATTAAGCCTTGGGCAGCTTAATGGCAAAGTTGGTGGTTTGAGATGAAGCTCTTTGCTTCGTGGAAAATTTATACTCGGGAACCTGAAGAAGCAGTTCTATTCTGCCCTTTAGGGTTGCTGTTATGAGTACTGGGTGGTTTTTGTATTTTTAGTCAAAGTATACTTCAAGAGGTAGCTTGGTTAAGGTATTGAAGATTCTGTCAGGGTGATAGTTTTGAGGGCAGGGCTCCAGAAAATCTGTATTCCATAACTTTCTTTTTTGTAGTAAACTAGCTCAGATAAATGATATTTCAGGGTTTGGCCCTGGTGCTTATATACAAGGCAGTACTTCCCCAAACCAGAAGTTATGTATTTACATTTTTTACAAAACAGCCGTACCACCTTCAAAGTACTCTCCATAACACTTAATACATTTGTAAAATCTGTGATTTCATTTTTGGAAACACTTTTCAAATTTTTCTGTTTGGATGGCTGATAGCACCTCCCTCATTTTTTTTCTTCACCTCTTCCTGTTGTCAAATCACTGTCCTGTCCTGTTCTTCTTCATTCACAGAAACAAAAAGAAATCACATGGAGTGAGGTCAGGTGAGCAAGAGAGGCACGCTGGTTTTTGCCCAGAACTTGCGCACTGAGCTGACTGTGTGAGCAGCTGCATTGTCATGGTGGCAAAACCAGTCCCGTCTGTCACGAATCAGGCCTTTTTTTGTCTCACACCGTTGCACAATCTTTTCAGAGCCTCTAAATCAGCGGTTCTCAACCTGTGGGTCGAGACCCTTTGGGAGTCAAACAACCCTTTCACAGATGTTGCCTGATTCATAACAGTAGCAAAATTACAGTTATGAAGTGGCAACGAAAATAATTTTATGGGTGGGGGAGTCACCACGACATGAGGAACTGTATTAAGGGGTCGCGGCATTAGGAAGGTTGAGAACCACTGCTCTAAACAGAAAGCTTGATTAACATTCTGACCTGGTGGAATCAATTCCAAATGCACTATCCTCCTCACATCAAAAAAAAATGAAGATGGCAACAAATGTACAAATGTGCTTGACTCTAATGGCTGTATGTGTGGATTGCGATAAGAGTTGGACGAGCCCCCAATAACATTATTTAAAACAAAACAAAAACAAATGAACATTGTCTTGAACTTTGATTTCACTTGACAAGGAATTTTGGGCGAGGCGATGATGGCGTCTTCCACTGGTTCATTGATTTTTGGTTTCAGGGTTGTAAGAACAGCACCATGTCTCATCACCAGTAAGGACCTTGGAACAAAAGTCTGGGTCGCTTTAGGGCTGTTCTTTCAAAGCCTGGCATGTTTCCAGTCAAAGCTCTTTTTCCCCGGTCAGTCAGAACCCGAGTCACGTATTTCACAAGGACTTTGCTCATTCCCAAATCTTCTGTTACAATTTGCTGAACCGACATCCAAGATAGTCCAGATAACTTCTTCATCTCTTCAGTGGTTCGTCTTCGAGCACAAGTGCACACATTTTGTCAACATTTTTGTCTTTTTGGGAAGTTGAGGTTTCTTGTCAATCAACATTCACCTTTTTTGAAACGAGAAAACCACTCATATACCTATTTTTCCCATAGCACTGTCCTTGTAGGCTGTGTTCAACATCACAACAGTTTCTGCAAATTTCACAGCTGCACACTGTTCTCTTCAATCGTCCATCACAAAAAAAGAGGTTTGAGCGAAACAGCTTTTACGAAAAAATTCACTGTGATCATAGAGAACCTTTCCAGGCAATGCCTCTGGGTGCACTAACTCAGAGCGAGTTGCTCAATGCTCGCCTAGTGGGAAAAATGTGTACGATGAAAGTACGAAAGCTCTGCTCTGCTAAGTGCAATTCTAGTTTTTTTTTGGGGGGGTACCTCCTTGTATTGTCTTATAATAGCTGTAGTTTTTGTGTTTTGACTGTATTTTATTTATAATAGTAACCATGAAGATTTTAAATGGCTCAAATATACATATATACGCATGTATTTACTGCTACACTTGTAAGTTACAGTTTAAGTTTCTGAATGATATGTATGAGAAATATATTAAAGATGTGTAATCATTTCATTCTTTCTAACTAGATAATGATACTACTTCAACACTCTCCTCGGGTGCAGACGATTCCCAAGTAAGTTGGATCATTTGTAGATGTGAAGGAAGGAATAATGTCAGTTATGAAGCAGGGCATATTTAGTTGGGTTGTGGTGGATACTGATGACCCTTTTATGATTTTTTTATGATTATTTTCTTTTATAACAGTTCTTTTGGGAGTTGAGGATAAAACAAGAGAATAATAATTTTTGTATGTGTGTTTGATATTCGATTGACCGCTTTCTAATTTCTGTGCATCAGATTTATTTTTATTCTTCAATTGTATCTATCCCTTCTTAAACTTAGTGTTATTTACTGACTTTAACAAGCATATTTTACATATGAAACTAATACTTCATTGTTTTAAAATGTGGTGGTTACAAATACCTCAAAATAGACTCCAGGTCAAGATCAGTCAATCTGTATGACTCCTGAAGTTGAACCATTATCATTAACTGTTCTTTCCATGGCTTCCACGTTGGTATGCATGGTCTACCTTCAGTCCTTATTGATTGAAGTAGCTTCCACGAGCATTTTTTGTAGGTTCAAGCGGCAGCAGTTTTCTTGGCATAGGCCTTTGCTACTAGTGGTCTGTAGACAGGAAGTAGGAGATATTTCCCTCTTGACACAAGTGTCAAGATAAGGAATTCATTCATCCTTCTAGGGCAGCGCTTCTCAACCTGTGTGTCGTGACCCCTTTGGGGGTGTATGTGTGTGTGTCGAACAACCCTTTCACAGGGGTCACCTGATTCATAACAGTAGCAAGATTACAGTTATGAAGTAGCAACGGAAATAATTTGATGGTCGGGGGTCACCATAACATGAAGGACTGTATTAAAGGTGTCACGGCATTAGGAAGATTGAGAACCACTGTTCTAGGGGCTAAATTTCCCACTTGAGTTCCTTGGAACATTAGTTATAAGAATTGGTTTGCAATAAAAAGGATTTTAAGATCCCATTAATTGGGATCAATTTAAAGCCAATATTTCAGAGATTCAATGTGCACTTTTTAATAATGAACTAAAAAGCCTTTCTTTGAAGAAACCTTTTGAGGTTTGGATGATCTATTGTTTTTGTAGTTTTATTTGAACAAAACAAATAAATTTAACATAAAACAGTAATTATCCCCATCCTCTTTTCCTTAATACAGGTTAATCACTGCTTCTAATGCTTAAAAGATCAAAAAAAAGGTCACTGTTGTTATAATTTGAGTTAGAAAATGTGTGTAAAGCATGGTTAAAGGAGCTTAGCTACTTTGGTGTATAGTATAGACAACGAATAAAGCCCGATCGTCTTCTAGCCCTGTGAAAGTGGCATTATTTGTACTCTTTGAGGTTACTTCTTAAAGTGTACTTGACCATGGGAAAAACCCCCAGTGAAGTTATTTTACTTACGATGATGAAGAGAACCCTTACTTCAAAAACTGATTTCAGAGCATTTGATGCATTTTAAGGAGTTGTTGGGTAATGATATTTATCAAATGAACTTTCTAAGCTCTAAAAATTAATTGATTTCAGAGTACCGAGATGAATGTGTCAGTACCAAAGAAAATGTGTAAAAGGTAGGTATTTGCTATGATAATATAATTTTTTTCAGTTATTTTAAGTAGATTTCTTATAAAAAAGCATATTTCTTGATATTTTTTCTTTTCATAGGCCATGTATTCTCATACTTGACTCCTTGAAAGCTGCTTCTGTACAAAATACAGTTCAGAATTTACGAGAGTAAGTAAGGACAATTTTACCCTGTAGTCTGTTATTTAAAATGTCAATAATTTGAAGATAACATAAGAATTATTAAAAAGTATACCAGGAATTGTAATTTCTTATGTGTTTGGATGAGGTCTATATATGTCATCCACAATAAATTAGCATGTTAAATGTCAGTATTAAAATGTTAATATTGCTCTTTTATTTCATAAAAAGTAAATTAGGAATTTGTACTTAAAATTGAGCAAAAAGCATAATTTTACAAAGGAGCATTGCAAATATTATCGAAAGCACTTGCTAAGCTAAAAGTACATAGTCCGTATGATCCCCTCAATTTTTTTAAAGCTTTTTTTGTGAATTGGGTGAAAGTTTACAGAGCAGGTCATCAGTTTTATATTAAAAAATGCATGCAGATTTTGTTTCATCTCATCCATTGCAATCTCCTCAATGCAGCAACAGTCTGCCCACTCCCCTCCTTGTTTCCTGAACTGTCTCTCTGTGTAAGTGCTGTCCCCTTCCTCACAAGTGCTGAACTGTTCTGAGGTGTGCACATGCGTTTATATGTACACACACACACACACACACACACACACAAGTGCGTATTTATTTATACATCGCTTACTGTGTATTGCCTTCCCTTTTACTCAAGCTCTTAAAAATTGACTGACTTCCTCTTCATTTGGAAGTTCTGTAATTGCACTAGTCCCTTGTTTTACTTCGTCATTGTTTTTTGTTAGAAATTAATATCACTGGTTCACTATGTTCTGTCATGTAGGTTTCTCTACTTTGGCTGATTCATATCTGGATTGATTTTGGGATAGTGTTGTCATGTATGTTAATTTCAGGTTGTTGTCTACTATCGTTGGTTCTCTGTCTAAAGAATTTCTTTCAGTATTTCATGTAGGGTTGTAATTCCTTTAATTTTTTTTTTTACCTGCAATGAATGTAATTTTGACATCATACATGAAGGGCATTTTTGCTAGTTCTCTAGTTCTTGGTTGGCAGTTTGTTTTCCTCTCAGATCATTCCTCCCACTCCCCCAAGGAAACTAAGGTTGGTGACTTGAGTCATAGTTTCTGGTAAGGCCTGCACTCAAGATACACTCCATCTTAATTCTGCCTCAGTAGCACAACACATGACTCACCTCAGAACGAGACTAACAGCAGAGTAGAGGCTAGTGTGTAATGCCTCACAAGATGGAAGACCGGTTAGAAGAGCCACAGTAAGTGGTTAACGACACCACACTTGAGTTATTGGGGGGCTGTGTGTGTCAGTTTCTTGAATTACTGTCTTCTCACCTTTCCCGATGTGAGGGAGTGTTTCTTCCAACAATTGTTTCACAGTTTCCTCGTGGCTTTTCTGGGCTCTCGTCTAGTTGTGCAGTCCTCGTGTTCCTTGTGCTTCGTAGGCTTTCTCGATGATTTCTTCTGGTCTCCGATTATTCCTCTAGCAGATTAGTAATGAGAGGTTCTTCTTCAACTCAGTAGTTCATCCTTACATTGACTGGATTTTACTCCTTTGTCCTTTAAATGCGTTATCTAGCTCTGAAACCTTAGTATTGATGCTCTGGGTTTCTCTTTTCTGTTTGTGTGTGTTTCTAATGTTAAAAATTTATTTTGTCAGTTCTTAACAGTATTTCTGAGATTTCTATGTGTTTTTTTTCCCTTCCGTTTTCCTTGATTTCTTTTGCAGCGCCCCCAGTCTTTCTCCCAGTCCTTTGGAAGTACTAAATATCATTCCTTCATTCCGGCTGTGTTTCTGGTTTGAGGGCTCATTTGTTTGAGCTACTCCATCTCGCTTCTTCGTGTGAACTCAAATTGTCTCTTGTTTCTGACACGCTGTGGTAGTGTTGTATTTGTTCTTAACTGATGATTGTATGTTGGCGTGTTCGCAGACACTCACCACTTGTCTCCTGGTGTATGTTCTAGAGAAGTGTGCCCAGCTCTCTGCTTCTGTGTGGCATAGTGGAGGGCAGGTTTGG